GCCAGCTGACAAAAGCTGGGATTGCCAGAACTCATTATGTTCTAACCATTGCTTCCCTCATGCTCCTCCTCCCCCTAATACCCCCTATGGTACAAGAAAGGTGACATAGCAAGTTGGTCATACTCCTCTGTATATGCCGGGGACTTTCACAGATAAGGGGCATTCCCAGCAGAGGAGATTTAAGGGAAGTTTCCATTTCCTTATGTCTACTTCTATGTTTGCCAGAAGTTAGAAAATACAGTATATCGATTTTATTTCAGTAGTTAGTATTTGCTGTCAGCTCGTTGAGAGTTTTTTGTCCTCTCTTGTGTCTACTTCAAACAAAGCCAACCTGCGAAACAACAATTTTATCTTTTCTTTTCTGGTCTTGGCAACCTCATATCTTTTTCTCTGGAATGGAAACATGCTACTGTGTGAACAGTGGGAATGGCTGGTTTTCTGAATGACTGCTAACATTCCAGAATTCATTCCCATGTAGCACGTTATTTAATATCCTCAAAACCGCAGACTGGGTTTTCTGCTAAACACTGCTGGGCTTCCATTAATATTAAGGAAAATAAGTCCTTAACGTTAACTATTGGAGGAGACCTTGTATAAAGTCAAATTCCTGTAAAATGAGGCTTCGAGGGGAAAAGTGTGTTTGTGCATGATGTCAGGGGTAGAGGAAGGAGAGTGGAAGGGATCTTGTTATATTCCGACTTTAGCAAATTGTAGCCCAGGTTCCTTAAGCATCTTGTGAAGATTTATGATTGACAAAAACAAAAACCAGAAAATACAACCCTTCAAGGCCCAGTAATCAGGATATTCCAATACTATTTACTAATTCTGGAGCACATAGTTGCTCCTGCTATCAAAGTGGGTCTCCTTTAAATCATTAATCCAGAAATGTAAAGCAGAATGATTATGTTAGTGTATTCAAAAAATAGCCCTGAAAAAAATTATTGTAAGTGCTAAAATGTACCACCATACAGGATATGAATGTTTCTGTATTTCACACTTAAAATTAAAACAGGAACACCTGATTTATAGGGAGGAAAATATACAAATAAAAAATGGTGCATTGCAGGAGCATTTCAGCATTACTTCTATGATGCTAAAAACTTCCTAGGTCAATTCAAAACATGTAGTCCTTGGGGCTGTATCAGCTATCATCTATAGCAGTTCTCATTTCAGGTAGCGGTTGCAAATAGTCTGGGAATCAACTGCCCTGTCCTGCATGATTTATCTTAGTATATATCCAAATAATTCCAGTTGTCTGGGTACAGCAAAAGGAGGACAGGAGACACTTAATATGGATTTTAATCAGGTCTCAACATTATTATACAGATGTCTGGGACACCCAGCAGATAAAATGTATTGTGCAGATCAATCTTACAAAAAGGATTGATATCCTATGCCTACTTCTTGCGTGGCAGGGAGGGTATGAGGTTGGGGAGGGAAGAAGGTTTAATCAAATACATATTCCAGCCTGGGTAGAACATAATATGTGCATGGAATCTGCAAAAGGTTTTTACTTTTGTTTGTTCTTTGGGTTTTTTTCATGCCTAGGTGCCTTTTTTTAAAATTTCTTGAGAACTAGAAATAGTATTATCATTTGGAAGTTGGGATATTGGTCTGTGAAGGATTCAACTCTTTTTCATCAAAATCTATACAAAAAAACATTGTCGGCAGTATATTATGCCAGTAGCTGATGCGGCTTTCTAGGCATGTGGGATATATAAAATACCACTACCTAATATTTCTCCATCTCTGTTCCCCATCGGTCACTGATACCAATAAAAGTTAGTGCTTCAAACCAATCCTCCATTTTAAAGAAGCCTACATAATAACCTCTTTCTAATATATATAGAGAACCTCTCACTGGGTTAGAAAAAAATTCTTTGTGTGGATACGTAACATTCACTTAAAAAAACCCCCAAAAAATCAGCAGACTCTTTTAGGAGACTGCAGATTGCTGATGAAAAACATTGGGTTTTTTATGCAATATGTTTGACCCAGTTTGTGAAAGAGAATTTTTTATCAGCCATTCTGCATAGACTTGAAGACAATATGTCTTGATCTTTCTTCATAACTGAAGTCCCTTGGCAACCAGACTAGAGTGTTTGATCTTCACTATAGTTTTTTTTTTAAGTAAGCTGATGATGGCTTTATAAATATCTTGATTTAATTTACGGTGTTTAAGGAAGAATATAAAATAAATAGTGTGGGATTTTCAGGTAAATACTATATGAAAATTGCATGTGTACACATGCAATGTCACATAATTAAAACAGAAAATTCTGGAAGGAAACTAATTTTATTTCTTAGAATATGCTATGTGCTCAGATTACTATCCACTCTTGAACTTTATGATCTCATATTCCTTTGTACATTTATAACTTTGAAAAATAATATATCCCATCTATAGATGTTAATGTCAATTTATAGCATTATAAAATATAAGGAACATGTGTGACCTATGTATTTCATGCCTATAATGAGAGAAAAGGTTTTGGGGATTATCTGCATAAACCATCTTTGGATTCACCAATCCTGAGTAATGCTTTCATCAAAACTTATTTTGATAAGACTATATATTGCATGACATTATCTAGTGCTCATTCTTTGTAAAATGTCTGTTGTGCATTTTGCAGAACCACTCTTGTTCTCTGTAGCAGGTACTGTAAAGAAGATATGATTGTAAATGAATACAGTAAACTGCAGTTTGATACATTTTCCAAGGAGTACAGCAAAACATGGTGTTGAATGATTGGCTCCCTGGTTTTTCAGCAGGCACCATGTGATTTAACATCACACTGAAAGAGATGAAATCTAGCATCAGTGTGACAGAGACATGGCTGTACTTGCTAGTTTTGCTTGTGGAAAAAAACTGTGCTTGACTTCATTGTGTATAAACACTTCCAGATCGGATTCAGAGTGCTGAATTCCATCTTGTGCTGTTGATATACGTATTTAGTTAAATTGGAAAGTTCAGTACATTCTGAACCTTTTAAAAGGTCTTGTCAAGTACCCTACTAAACATATTTGAGAGAGATTTGAAAGCTCACACAATACTCGGTATTTTTATTCATGATGTTCTGTACATTGCTGCCGTCACTCTGGGTAATATAGAAAGAAAACAGTGCACAGTTAACTGGAGTAAAGGCCAAGGCCACAACTTTTACTGAAGTACAATAACTCATTTTGCAGTGCTTCCTAGTAGAAGCAGTCTCTCAAGTAGCGAGGAGTCAGATTCTGAGCTCATGAGCTCTGGATCCAAGAAGATGTAATCTTCAAGCTCAGCTCCCGAGCCATAGATAAGTCCTGTGAGCAGGTTTCAACCAGATTCATTTTAGCATTGTGAATGCAATTATTTTTATTTCCATTTTTACTACATGAACGACAGACCTTGGCAAATACCCAATGGGTCCCTCTTTATCGGGGTTATTTGCATATCAAATGAAAGGAAGCAGAGAGCAGTTAAAATGCCTTCCTTTCACATCTCCCGGAGAAGAATGGTGAGATGGTTTTCCAGCAGCCTGTGTTATCTCTGTGCATATTTTTTGCACACTATTGCCTGTGGGGAGGGGGAGCAATTTTTTTTATCAGACTCTCTTTTTGGTGGAAATTTGAATTTTCAACTAAATGGATTTTTGATGAAAATAGTGTGCTTCTGCAGAAATTTCTAGGTGTTTTTTTAAAAATGAAACAAAACAGCTAAACAAAACTCCCTGAACCACCCTCCCCCCTGAAAATCATGGCTAGATGTTCAGCACAGCAATGCCATGCCTCCATTGCGGCTACTTGCATTGCCTCAGGTACCCTGCTCTTTATTCTCACAGGGTATGTCTACACTACCACCCTAGTTCGAACTAGGGTGGTAGTGTAGACATACCCTGTGAGAATAAAGAGCAGGGTACCTGAGGCAATGCAAGTAGCCGCAATGGAGGCATGGCATTGCTGTGCTGAACATCTAGCCATGATTTTCAGGGGGGAGGGTGGTTCAGGGAGTTTTGTTTAGCTGTTTTGTTTCATTTTTAAAAAAACACCTAGAAATTTCTGCAGAAGCACACTATTTTCATCAAAAATCCATTTAGTTGAAAATTCAAATTTCCACCAAAAAGAGAGTCTGATAAAAAAAATTGCTCCCCCTCCCCACAGGCAATAGTGTGCAAAAAATATGCACAGAGATAACACAGGCTGCTGGAAAACCATCTCACCTAGGTGAGAGCTTGCACAAGTGTGTGTAGGCAGGCAGGGGAATCACACTCCTGCCTCACAATGTAGGTGTAGCTGACGTATATGCCTACATTGCAGTCATTGGGTGTGGCTCAGGAGACATGCCCAAGCTATCTCCAGTCTCAAGTATCTAATTTGCAAACTCCACAAGTAATGACCCAAGATTCTGGGTAAGCTTGTACAGCCTGCCCGGAAGGGTGCTCAGACCAATACCTGAGCTTTCTAGATTAAACCTAACTCAGTTATGTCTTCATGAACTGCAGTCACACCCCATGATTGCAGTGTAGACATAGCCAATGTCTAAGAAAGCTTGTATCTACATGAAGGAGAAAGCCGCACCTCTGTTGTGTTGGTTAGCGACCGAGGGTGGGAAGTTGAAGAATATAGGAGACATCTAGGTGAGCATGTCCATGGGATTTTTGCTCCTTGTGCTTTTGAAGACCTCCTCCTGCATCCCTAGAAGGCTGACTTGAGGTATGTTTGCCAAGTATGAAAGGAACTATAATGAACAAAACTGTGCCAATTCTTCACCACATTTATTTGCAGCTTCCTCCCCTTCCACCTAGATGCTTCGGTCTTTAGATTGCAAGCCCTGATTGATAGAGATTGTCCCTTTCCTGCGTCCGTCCAGCACACAGAACAATGTGCCCCTGCTCCCATTGGGGGCCCTGGGATGTTAACATAATATAAACATTTAATGATGAACATTTGTTTGTTATTTGGGCTCCAGTTCTGACATTTTCCTCTTTTTGTTCTTCTTTTCCATGCTTTCTTTGGTATAGCAGACCACTTAGGAATTGAATTCATGGGTAAGTTTTCACTTTTCTTCCTTTATCTTACTACTGTTGATCTTCTGGGGTTTAGTCCCCTGCCTGCTGAAGCCAGTGGATAGGCTGCCATTCACTGTAGAGGTCTTTGGAGTCATCACTTAGGGACAGATTTAAAAAAAAATATGTGCCAAGAAGGATTTTCAAAAGCATCTAGGTGTCTAACATGCATTGATTTTCAATGGGAGTTAGGCTTCTAGCTGCTTTTTGAAAATCCTTCTAATACTCAATGAAATCAAAGAGACGGCAAGATGCTTTTTAAAATCTCAGTAGATACCTGAATCCCTTTAAAAATCTGGCTCCTCCGTGTTTACATTTTGCAACACAATTTGGACTCATTTACTACATTTTTAACTATCTCACAATCTCAGCATCATGCTCACGAGCATTATAGGGGTCGAAAGTTCCCAGTGGCACTTTGTTATTTTTGTGTGTGGTATTACAACATATAATGGAAAATAATAGGCTGTATCATGATAACTGAGAAGATAATACTGTAGACAAGATTTTAGGCACTGGAATAATATGTGTCTTTCTGAAGAAGTACCATACATGTTAAAACATTTTTAAACTTGATTTTTTTTCCATTGAATTAATGTTGTAAAAAAATGGTAAAATTTAACAGGGTCTGAAACAAGATGTGCATATTTCAGGATGATAGTGAGGCATTAACTTTATTTCAGGACAAAGTCTTTTATATAAAGTAGCAGAAACTAGCGATTGATGGAGATAACTTCAGGCAGGTTTAGAAACGTCAGAGAAGAACATAGAAGTACCTCAAATGCTTAATCGGCTGGAGTCTTGAGTTTGCCCAGTCAAAACCTTACCTGAAAACTGGTGCTCAGCTGGGCTATGTCTAGACTGCAAGCCTCTTTTGAAAGAGGATTTTTGAAATAATCTTTCGAAAAAGCCTCTTTCGAAAGGGAGTGTCTAAACTGCAACCTCTTCTTTCGAAAAAGTGAGCTGCTTTTTTTGAAAGAGAGCAGCCAGGCAGTCTGGATGCTCTGTTTCAAAAAAGCCCTGTTTGCATTCAAGAATGCCTTTTTTCAAAAGAACACTTTTGAAAAATGCATTATTCCTAGTGAAATGAGGATTACCGCCATCAAAAGAAAAGCCGCGTTCTTTTGATTTAATTTCGAAAGAACGCGGCTGTAGTCTAGACGCAAGTGAAGTTTTTTTGAAAAAAGGCTACTTTTTTCGAAAAAACCCTGCAGTCTAGACACAGCCCTGGTAGCACAAACACTTTCTTCAAGGAACTCAGGCTAATCCTTTGCAGAGTTAGAAAACAAACTCATCATATGAGCTAGGCATTTTGCTTAAACCAGTAAGTGAGGTTGCTAATATCTTCAATGCAAATTTTAAACAGAATTCCTTAACTCATTTGTTACTTGTTGATCTTATGTGGCTAAGCCGTACGTTTGTTTTACTATATATTCCTGTTAAAAATGACATGAAACAAATATTATTTTGGCACAGTCATGAGGGACATTTATTTGAAACACAAACACATACAGAGCACAGCACAACACAAAAAAAGACCGAGCCCTAAATTTGGAGTTTGGTGTTCAGAAGGGCTTTAAGGTGAGTTTTGGCCACTGTTTTAGCTTTGTCATGTAATTTCCCCATGATTTGGAACTTATATCAAGACATGACCCTATTATTTAAAAAGCAGAAGTGTATTTAAACAATGACAAGAGGTAAGTTTTTTAAAATAATTTATTTATATTTATCTACATCTCAGTAATTGATAAGGTTCTTACTGATAAATTGACAAAGCATAGAATCATAGAACCATAGAACTGGAAGAGACCTCAGAAGGTCATCAAGTCCAGCCTCCTGCTTTAGACAGGACCAATCCCAACTAAATCAACCCAGCCAGGGCTTTGTCAAGCCGAGACTTAAACACCTTTATGATGGAGACTCCACTACTTCCCTAGGTAACCCATTCCAGTGCTTCACTCCCTCCTAGTGAAATAGTTTTTCCTAATATCCAGCCTGGACCTCTCCCACCTCAACTTGAGACCATTGCTCCTTGTTCTACCATCTGTCACTACTGAGAACAGCCTTTCTCCATCCTCTTTGGAACCTTCCTTCAGGAAGTTGAAGGCTGCTATCAAATCCCCCCTCACTCTTCTCTTCTGCAGACTAAACAGACCCAACTCCTTCAGCCTCTCCTCGTAGGTCATGTGCTCCAGCCCCCCCTAATTATTTTGGTTGCCCTCTGCTGGACCCTCTCCAATGCATCCACATCCTTCCAATCCAGAGATGTCATTATTCCCCTTTATTCAGCTCTGGTGAGGCCACATCTGGACAAAAGAGGTGGCCAGACCAGCACATACCATCTAAGATGATTAGCTCTGCTCTTACTCTCACCTGAACAGACATTTGCAAGATCAGACCACATAAGGGAAATTTTGTTTTAAAGTCTTCTAAATGCTTCATGGAATTTTAAGGCTAGGCATGATCCATGACAAAGCACTGGGTGAGACGATTTAGTTGAGGTCAGTCCTTCTTTGAGCAGCGGGTTAGACTAGGTGACCTCTTGAAGTCTCTTCCAACCTGAATTTTCTATGATTCAATGATTCTATAGTACACAGAAAGGGCTACAAGAGGGGGAAAGCATTTCCTGTCTCTGCATCTGGCAAAGACTCAGGTCATTAAGGGTACATCTACACTGCAACACCAAAGTATCCTGAAATAGCTATCCCGCCTCTTCACAGCAAGCCCGTTATTTCAGGCTCACTATTCCGATGTCCCTGTGAACCTCATTCTATAAGGAATAAGGGATGTTTCGGAATAGTTCTTTATTTTGAAATTTGGCTCTGTGTAGACAGCGCCAAATGACGAAATAAGCTATTTTAAAATAGCATCAAAATAAGATACGCAATGGCTACGTCTACACTGGCATGATTTTCCGGAAATGCTTTTAACGGAAAAGTGTTCCGTTAAAAGCATTTTCGGAAAAGCGCGTCTAGATTTGCAGGACGCTTTTCCGCAAAAGCACTTTTTGAGGAAAAGCGTGCGTGGCAAATCTAGATGCACTTTTCCGCAAAAAAGCCCAATCGCCATTTTCGCGATCGGGGCTTTTTTACGGAAAACAAATCTCTGCTCTCTACACTGGCTCTTTTGCGCAAAAGTCTTTCGGAAAAAGAATTTTGCCCGAATGGGAGCAGCATAGTATTTCCGCAAAAGCACTGACAATCTTACATGAGATCGTCAGTGCTTTTGCAGAAATTCACGCGGCCAGTGTAGACAGCTGGCAAGTTTTTCCGCAAAAGCAGATGATTTTGTGGAAAAACTTGCCAGTCTAGACACAGCCAATTTGTGTAGCTCAAATGGTGTATCTTATTTCGAGTTACAGTGCAGTATAGATACACCCTAAAACTGCATACTTTGAGTATATTTTCTCATTGTTTTAGAATTTGCGTTTGAAAACAAAGCTAGCCCATAGGACTTATACTAAAGGGCGGTTGGAATATTTATTCTGATTTCCCAACTGATGAGTTTGCCCACTGGCTTACATGACCTCAGAAGAGGCCCTAATTCTGTCTAAATTGCCCAGATCTTATGCACCTAGGCTGGGTATATCATGAGACAAGCTTTCTGAAAGACTTTATGTGGTTTCAGTCAGCATAGAACCAGGAATTTCAAAGTGTGTGCAAGAACAGTAAAATATATTTTAGAAAGGTTGTCCACATTTTTATAGTTCTTAAATAGGAACTATAACAATTTTACAAATCTTTATCATAAGTATATAAAATACAGTATTAACAGTTATAAAAATGAACTTTCTTCTTTGTTTGCAGAGTCATTATGTGATGATACAGTAATCAAGGGTAAAACCTTGACAGTCATTCAAAGCTTTTTGTGCGTGTGTAACTTTATTACTGAAAGAAATCAGTGTAATCAGTGGAATTGCTTCCATTAGGAAAACTGAACACCTACACAAGTCTTTGCAGAATTCAGGCTTCACTGTACAATCCTTTACATAATCCAAGAGGCATTGTTTCTGGGTATTCTTTGTACAAGCATAAGACTACCCGCATGTTAGCAACTTAGCTCTTTTATCTTCAACTCTGTGGATAAACCCATTTCTGAAGTTTCCTTGTATTTAAGGGGCAACAGTAATAGGTAGGGGCTGACTGTCCATTTTCACTGCTATAGCAGATCTCTGGCATTTGGCATCTTCACTGTGATTTTTAAAAAAATGGTGAGGTGTTAGAGACAGGACAGGTGTAATTTTGCTTTATTTTTACCATTTCATGAGAATTTAGCTGAATAAGTATGAAAAAAACACACACACAAAAATGATGCCACATTAAGGACAATGTGTGAAATTTCCCAGTGTGTGATACTTTTGAGAATGGTTTCATACTTTTGCCACTAATTTATCATAAAATGAAAGGTGGGATTTGTACACAAAATTAAGAGTAGATGTCTTAAAAATACAAAACAAGCAAAAAATGAGAGAAGCAAGAGCATCACAGGGGATGCTGGTTTTCATGAGTGAAAAAGATCAAATCCTGTTTTTTGAATTAGCTATTCTGTTTTCTAGATGATATTGGCTATACAGATACGGTAAATGTCTGAATGGCTGGACTTCAACAGTGTTGCTGGCTTCAGTTTGCAGGGCTAATTTTTGAATCAAGAAAAATCTTTGTTTAAAAATGGTTAAAATGCTAAAATGACTTTTGATGTATTCCTTTACATTTTCACTCTGGAAACAAAATTCTGTTCCTGCTCACATACTAGGGATGTTAATGGCTACTTGGTTAACTGGCTAACCAATGAGTGATTAAGTGATTGCTTATTGGTTACCAGTCCTGGTTAACAGCCCCCCACCCCCAACCCCGCTCTGCATTTAAAACTCGGACCGGCAGGCTGGCTCAGTCCCAACCAGCTGGTTTGAGTTTTAAAAGAAGAGCATGCAGGAGAACAGCTTGCCACCCCATGCTACTGACTCTGTATCAGAGGCCCCCACT